GGGGCCATATGGGATGCAGAGGATTGATCAGTTCATCTAGTCAAGCACCCAGTTCACATTATTGCCTTCTAACCACAATACTGGTGTATCTTTTTCTGGTTTATGAATTTCAGCTCCCTCATATCAAGCTGCAAAGCACCCCTGACTCTTCATCTCTCCCTAAGCAGACGACACCTGCCATTGTGGCAAATACTGAGGTCCCCGGGACACAGTGCCCAGGTGCATGTCCTGGTCCACCCTGCAAGAGAGTGTCAAAGATTTGTCCACTCTAAGTTACATAGTTGAATAACATTCCAGGCTACGATTCCCTGGGGGCATCACTGCAGCCAGCCTGAAGGGGGGCGCTAATATTCGGGACCTCCTGGGCTGAGAGTCGGCCCCTGGCAGGGCCTACAGGGACTTTATTGTGGGAGCCAGAGAAGAATCCGGGGATCAGAGAAGGCTGTCTTTTCTTCCCCTGTAGCCTGGGCCCAGGCTTCTCTCCTGAAGTGCAGCATCCCCAGCAAAGACAGGAGCTTCTGCCATTGTCTCCCAGAGTTGGAATTGTGAGGCTGTGCCTGAGGGTGTGGCTGGTCTGAGCTCAGGAGTGGGAGGAGGTGCTCCTCTCTGGTGCTCACTGTTCTGATTTCTCCAGGTCTTTGCACGGAGCCTCCTGCTGATCCTCAGAACAACAGTGACAGGAGAAGATGGTGTCACGGTTTCTGATAAACCATCCCCAGGTAGGAGTAGACGGATAGAATGACATGAGGTAGTACCAGGTGTGCCCAGGCTTCCTGGGCCATCTGTTTTGAGTTTCTTTTGGACGGATTCCAAGATGAGACTTCCGATCGGATCGTCCCATTCTGCTGTTTGAAGCTGCTTTTGTGTATGTTTGTTTTGTTTTATTTGGCTTTGGGGCCGACCCAGTGGTGCATGAGGAGTACTCAAAGCTCAGTGCTCAATACTCATTCCTGACAGGTCTAGGTGACCAATGGGATGCTGGAGGTCTAAAGGTTTCATCTTGGGTATTCTGTTTTATTAGTGGTGGCAGAGCAAGGATTCTAGCAATCATTCCTTGTGCTGCACTCTGGCATTTCCCCTGGCAGTGCTTGTGGGACCATATGAGATGTTGGGGATTGCCAGTCCTACGTGCTGTCCCCGGAACAGCTGTTCTGTTACGCCAACCTGCTGCTTCGGTTTCTTTTGCATTGTTTTTGTCATCAGCTGTCCTCTTGACTCTGTGCTCTGGATTCAAAACTGACTGGTCTCAGAGCACCCTGGGGTGGTCTGGCCCCATTTGCGCCCTGGCAACTACAGTGACCTGCGCCCCCAGACTTGCTTTTCTTCTGTTTTGTCCTTCCTACTTTGGAGAGACTACCTGCTCGGTCATATAGTCTTACGTTCACATACTCTTGTGTGTGGATTTTTGGGCATGCGGTGATCCCAAGGAGAAAGAGCCAAGGATCTCTGAGGCCAGTAGAGATGTTGGGTTCGAGAAAATTCTACCTTCTTTGAGCAGGATTTGGGGCGGTCCTGAGCAGTGAGTTCCTATAGGCACACATGCCATGCACTGCTCTGAGTAGTTGTCTATATGGACTTCACGTTCTCAATCCTAGTGGTCATGTGCTTTGGGGGTGCAGCGGTGAGCGTGCAGTGGTTTTTGCTACACCCAGTGATAGTCTTTTGGATCGTACAAGTCTGTGTTCAGGTGATCCTCTCTACAGTGCCCACTGGACCAGTGGTGCTCGAATTGGCCCTGGGGTTACCAGGAAAGGCAGATACATTCAAGAACCTTCTGTATAACGTCCTCCCACTTTAGCAGATCCAGGTGCCTATTGTAATTTCTGGGGCCCGTCAGCCATTCGTATGCATGGAGGCTGGTTCATTCGGAGAGGGGAGGCCTAGCGACAATATAGGACCCTGGGTCCTGGCCTCAGAGTAGTGGGAATGAGGCTAAGATAGTTTCTGACTCCCACCCTCTCCGTGTGCTGAGTCAGGATGTACTGACCTTCAATGACGTGGCTGTGAACTTCACCCTGGAGGAATGGTCATGCCTGGAAGCCTCTCAATGGAAGCTGTACAGGGACGTGATGCTGGAGACCTACCAACATCTACATGCTGTCGGTGAGAGCAGTGTGGAGCCAACCGTGTCTGAACAGACCCGCGTGGGCTCCCTAGGGTTGGGTGGCAGCTGTGTGTTCAACAGTAGCTCTGTGACGGGCTGGGATATTGGACAGCCATGCAGTAGCTCTTTCCTCTCTCGTTTTTTAGGATTCACCTGTGGATACTCAGGGCTTACTCTCAGCTTTGTCCTCAGGAATTACTCTTGTGGGGTAGCCGGACCCTATGGGTTGATTCACATCAAGCTGTTTCAACTGTGTCCATGGGAAGATCCCTATCTCCCCAATTATTACTCAGGTCCCTTTAAAAAGAACCATCCATTGGTGAATCAATTTACTTTGTATACTACACGAAATTTTGTGTGTTTAATTGGTTTTGCTCTTTCCTTTGTTTGGGGGCACAGTCCACAGTTCTCCTGGCTCTGTGCTAAAGGATGATTCCTTTAGCACCGAGTCAGGGGCCATGGGGTACTGTGGACTGAAACCTCTTGAAACTTAAAATGTTGGTGCCTCACCCCCAGAACTTTTGCACCAGTCACTCACAGTTTTTGCATTTTCTTTTTTTCTTAGGGATTAGTGATTTTTCCTGCCTGTGTATTCAGTATCCACACCTGGCCTTGCTCCAAGACCATATGGGCTCCCTGGGATCAAACTCACATGTGTATGCAGCGCTTCTGTCCTATGTGCTGTACTATCTCTTTCCCACCACAGCGGATTTGATACCTCGTCTCTCAACTCATTAGACGCTGCCCTATTTCAGTGCTTGGATTTACTTCTAATGGTTCTTGTGAGATTTCCTCAGGACGTAGGGTTTGCTCCTGGACTCTGCACTCAGGGATCACTCTTGTTTGGCATGAGGGACCCTAGATGATATCAGGTTTCGCAACTGGATTGGCTGTGAGAAACTCCTGTTCTGCTCTCTTTATGGATACATTTTTTTTGTAGGAGTACTGCTATTTATTCATTCACTGATGAGCTGACTGAATTGTGCACGAACTCCATCTTACTTTTTTTTCATTGTTTATAATTTTATTTATTGAATCACCGTGAGAGCATTTACAAAGCTTTTCGGTCTAAGTCCTGGTCATAAAATGAAACACCTGTACCTTCGCCAGTGCCCATTCTCCACCACCAAAACCCCCGGTATACCCCCATTCCACACCCTCCCCCTACCTGTGGGGCAGATGATTTCCACATTACTCTCTCTCTACTTTGATCACATTCAATATTTCGACACCAGACACACTATTATTATTTGAGATTTTACCCCAACACTCAGATCTGCTGAAAGGGCAACAATAGACAATTTGTGTTCTATTGCTGGTTATGAATAACATATGATGTCGCGTGGCTACAGTAGGGCCATGTGGTTTTGAAATTATGAAATTTTAACACTTAAATCTGGAGGGAGTTTTGCCAAAGGCCACTGAGTTTCGAGATCTACTCCTGAGTCTCTGTGATCATGGCCATTGAGCAGCTTGTTGAGAAGCCAGAGAGACCGTTCGTGGGCGATGACTTGTTCTCGTTGGAGTGGGGAGGACAGGCCCGGCTGCCCCCTCATCCTGTGAGGCCCAACAAGTTTCGTCACTGCGGGCCCACACCTGACTCTCCAGTGGCCTCTGGAGGATGACGGCCACCAAGCCGCCAAGAGAGAGCAGGCGGAGGGAAAAAACCCTTTCTTCCCTGAGGTGGCCCGGCGACAGTAACGTAGTGTGGGGTCCGGACGCATTTCTACCAAAAGCCACTGGGTTTTGAGATTTGTTTCTGAATCTCTTGGATCATGGCCATTAAGCTTCTTGATCAGGAGCCAGAGAGGCCATTCGTGGGTGATGACTTGGGGTCTCATTGGAGTTGGGAGAACAAGCCCGGCTCTACCCCCATCCCATGAGTCCCTGTGTGTCTCGTCACTGGGGGCCAAAATCTGACTATCCAGTGGCCTCTGAAGGATGGTGGCCACTGGGCCGACAGGGGGAACAGGCCAAGGCACAAAACCTATTACTACCTGGTTTGGCCCAGCACCAGTAGCCTACTGCACGGACCAGATGTGTTTCTACATAAGGCCGCTTGGTTCTGAGATTCGTTTCTGAGTCTCTGGGATTACGGACATTAAGCAGTTGAATCAGAAAACAAAGAGGCCTTGTCTCCAATTATATAGCTGAGCCGGAGTTGGTTTGTGGGTGTGTTTCCCACATACCTAACTTTTGGCTGTTTACTTTCTTGGTAAACTTTGCCCCAAGTTGTTGGGGTCTAGCCAAAGGCACAGCAGCAATTTTGGGGTATCTGGAAGTCTGAAGGCGCCATCAGGCTGCTGATGCACTCGCCTCACAGGTACAAATTGATCTACTGGCGGCACCATACCCCTGTCTGGATACATGTTTTAGCTTAAAAAAATAAGGGTCTCTTGCCACCCTTGGCCATTTCCAGATTTATTATGCACTTAGTTTTACTGAAATCCGTGATGAGGTCATGAGGGGCTCAGGAATCTCCATGTGCTGCTGGGCCTAGAGAGACAGTACAGGGAGAAAAGTGATTTTCTTGCAAGCGGCACACGTGGGTTAAATCCCTGGCATCGCATGTCATCCCGGAGCACCAGCAGCGTTGATTTCTGAATACAGTCAAGAGTCACCCCTGAGCATTGCCACATGAGACCCCAAACAAGAAAAAAACTAACAATATACTGTGCTGATCAAACACCTGTCGGCCATACACAAGGCCAGGTCTAGAGTATTTGTGGTATTTTCTTGGGTCTTACCTCTCGTATAAGTAGAAATATGTGGCATCTTGGAAATGGACATTCTATTCATGCCTTTCAGATATTTTCCCAGTTATATCAGGAAAACATGGGGATTTACCTTTCACCTTTACCTGTCACTTATCCATGCCTCTGTCTCTGTCAGGCAGGGCACTCCGGGATGAAGCCTGCGGTGATCTCCTGGCTGGAAGGAGGAGCCCTGAGGTTGGGGAGGAGAGGCGTGTGTGCGGGTGAGTGTCTGAGGACCCTTCCTGGCTCAGGCCCTGTGCAGTGAATGGGTGCTCTGAGCATGTACGAAACACACTGCTGAGACTGGGGCCTTGGTCTTCTGGATTCTTGGTTCTGTGCTGCACTCATGCTGCTCTTCATTCCCCTGGACTGTCAGCCACAAAATGATCCTGTAATTTGCTTCCATGGCTTTCGAATAAGTAAGACCAAAACAGAGCTAGTTTGGATCTGAACTATATTAAGCAGGGAGTGCCTTGCAGCGCCTGAATGTGACCTGTTCAATAATTTGTTCAATAACCTCGTTCCCCAAACATTACCAGGTCTGCTCAAAACAAAAACAAAACCTAGTGTAGAATTGCCAAGATCCTCACAGTTTTCCACTATCCGAATCTTTTCTTTAGTGTGGGACTCTTTGGAATTTGAGAACCACAGAGATGTACTCTTAACTACATGGCATCATTTTGCTACATTTTTTGACAAGTGCTTGAATTGCATATTTTGTTCAGTTTCAGAACTGAAACCGCGGCTTCAGGATTTGGCATTACAGCACTTTGATTTGGGAATGGGGTCTGCAAGTACGAGTGTGTTGGTAAGATTCGCTAATTCAGAATAAATATTATTATGCCAGCAGGAGTGGACCAAGTATGTGATTGTTAAGGTGGAAGGCTGGGAATGGCAGGGAGGAATTCCAAAGCCTGATGCTTGGAGTAGAGGACCCTTAGCTTCACTAGGTGCTGAAATCAACCATGTTTAAAAATACTGTGAGTTTTGGTTTGCTTGACAGTGGTAGTTGTTTAGAAAGCTAATTTCTGCGCCCTATAGATCGTGCAGTGAGAAATATAATTGCTTTGCACATGGACGGATAATCCTTACCCAGCACACCTTATAGGCAGCATAGACCGACAGAACTGATCCCAGACACTGTGCCCCTCCACCCACCCAAACCCCAATAAATAGAAACGACAAAACAAAGGAAAAAAAAAACTTCATTGATCCTGAAAGGCATCACTTGTGGTGAGAGCTTTGCAATGGCCACGTGGTCTGTCTCAGCTGTGGGACGATGCAGCTGTTGTCTTTACCCCTGCATCACAGGTTCCTCACTGAGCTTTAACCAAATCCACATGTGGATGTATTTAATTTTCTCTTGAAATGGATGTATCCGTTTTCTATAGAAGGAATTGTTTCCAGTTGTATTCCTTCATTAATTTAAAGTGGAGGAAGTCACAGAATTTACTGACTCTTTATCCATCAATTTTGTATGTCCAACTTACAGTAACATGAAGTTATTCAATAGTAAGACAATTCATGTCAGTAATTGCATTTGTGTGGTGCATATGTGTGAAACCACATCTGAAGGGCTCAGTTTTTTTGACAGGAAGACTCATTGAATAAGTCAATAATTAGAATCCTCTGTTGTTCTACAGGAAAGCTGCCACCCCGAGTGGAATGTCTCTGATCCTGCCCTGTATGATAATGTCTCGAGTGATCAATCCTGCCCTCAACCCCATGAGGATGACGAGACAGGCGGGATTTCTTCTGAGGGTGATCAGAATGGCGAGAGCTACCTCACTCTGAAGAAGCCCTCTCCTGGAAAAAGTTCCTTGGAGTGTGTTATTCTCAGTTCACAGACACAAAATTCCCAGGTGGGGCACCTGCTAGGGAGAGAAGCACTGTTTATAGTGAGTCCCTAACAGCAACATACCCTCAACCACAGTCACCGTGAGCAGAACCAATCTAGGTGTAAGGAATGTGGGGGAGCCTCCCCATTTTCTCAGTACTGTGGTGTTCCCTTAGAAAACCACAGTGGACAGAATCCCCAGAAAAGTCAGCCCCGAGAACAAAGTGTGAGTCAAGGGTTACTCCATCATGACTATGTATATAAATTCAGGAGTGAAACCATTTGCATGTGAAGCATGTGGGAAGGCCTTCGATCAATCATCACATCTTATTATGTATAGGGGAATTCATAAAGGAGAGAAAACTCATAAATGTCAGACATGTGGGAAGGCCTTTATTCAGACGTCTAGTCTTAATAGACCTCTGAAAACCTATAGTGGAGAGAAGCCTTATATATGTCAGGAGTGTGGTAATGCCTTTACTCTATCCTCAGACCTCAGTATATATAGAAGCATTCACACTGGAGAGAAACCATATATGTGTAAGGAATGTGGAAAGGCCTTTACTCAATCCTGCGGCCTCAATATACATAGGAGAATTCAAACTGGAGAGAAACCGTATATATGTAAGGAATGTGGGAAGGCCTTTGCTGTAGCCTCAACTCTTAGTGAACATAGGAAAATTCACACTGGGGAGAAAACATATATATGTAAGGAATGTGGAAAGGCCTTTGCTAGACCTTCAAAATTTACTGTACATAGGAGAATTCACACTGGAGAGAAACCGTATATATGTAAGGAATGTGGGAAGTCCTTTGCTGTAGCCTCAAATCTTAGTGTACATAGGAGAATTCACACTGGAGAGAAACCATTTATATGTAAGGAATGTGGGAAGGCCTTTGTTGTAGCCTCAACACTTAGTGACCACAGGAAAATTCACACAGGAGAGAAACCATATATATGTAAGGAATGTGGAAAGGCCTTTACTCAATCCTCAGGCCTCAGTATACATAGGAGAATTCAAACTGGAGAGAAACCGTATATATGTAAGGAATGTGAGAAGGCCTTTGCTGAAGCCTCAACATTTCGTGTACATATGAGAATTCACACTGGAGAAAAACGGTATATATGTAAGGAATGTGGAAAGTCCTTTGCTGTAGCCTCAACCCCTAGTGTACATAGGAGAATTCACACTGGAGTGAAACCGTGTATATGTAAGGAATGTGGGAAGGCCTTTGCTCTAGCCTCAACTCTTAGTGAACATAGGAAAATTCACAATGGGGAGACACCATATATATGTAAGGAATGTGGAAAGGCCTTTGCTACATCTTCAAAACTTACTGTGCATAGGAGAGTTCACACTGGAGAGAAACCGTATATATGTAAGGAATGTGGGAAGTCCTTTGCTGTAGCCTCAAATCTTAGTGTACATAGGAGAATTCACACTGGAGAGAAACCATTTATATGTAAGGAATGTGGGAAGGCCTTTGTTGTAGCCCCAACACTTAGTGACCACAGGAAAATTCACACGGGAGAGAAACCACATATATGTATATCCTGCACATATGAAAATTCATCTCAGAGAGAAAACTCATCAGTGTCAGACATGTGGGAAGGCATTCACAAGGTTCTCTTCCCTTACTCTACACATGAGAATTCATAATGGAGAGAAGTATTAGATATGTCTTGAGTGCGGAAAGGCCTTAACGTCATCCTCACAATTGACTGTACATAGGAGAATTCACAGTGGAGAGAAACCGTATATGTAAGGAATGTGGGAAGGCCTTTGCTACAGCCTCAAATATTAGTGTACATAGGAAAATTCACACTGGAGAGAAACTGTATATGTAAGGAATGTGGGAAGGCCTCTGTATGGCCTCAATACTTAATGTACCCCTCAGACCTTAATAAACAAAAATTCATACTGGATTATTTGATCCCTTAATAACACTGTCTAATGACAGAACAGGACAAGTCATTCAAGCAAGTTTCCTTTGGACACGATGGTCAAGGGTGTTAAAAAAGTGCAGTTAATCCTCCCTCTGGAAAGAAAGATGGCGGCCACACGGGAGCCTTGTGGACAGCAGGTATGAGCCAGGGGTGTGGGGGCGACTAAAACCTCATGGGAAGGGGGGCGTTCCGGTCCGTCCTTCACGCCCTACCGAAGTCACCATTTGCCCCCCACGAGCGGCTCTCCAGCACAGCCACGGCCCCAGAAGCACAAGGACTTAATGCAGAACCTGGCAGCTTGGAGCAGAAAAGTGAATGGACTATGCGTTAATCCAGGCCATCATGTCTGTCCGGAGGGGAAAGGGTGTTGCCCCATATGCCCTTTCCTCCCTGGAAAGAAAGATGGCGGCCACATGGGAGCCTTGTGGATAGCAGATATGAGCCGGGGGTGTGGGGGCGACTAAAACCTCATGGGAAGGGGGGCGTTTCAGTCCACCCTTCACGCCCTACTGAGGCCACCAGTTGCCCCCCCACGAGCGGCTCTCCAGCACGGCCACGACTCCAGAGCACAGAAACCAATTTCTTAACTATCTGACTTTCAGTAGAAATACTTCCAGGGTCAATAAGTAAAATAGCAGAAATCCAAAACCAACATTTAATTCTTGAACCCAGCTGTAGAAAGTAAATCACTTCACAATGTTTTTCAGCATGTCTGATTTGGGGGGGCGGTAAACTCTAAATAATAGTGGTGAATATTTTAATGAAACAATGAATCTAATCAAAGCAGATAAAATGTTAACTAGAATTCATCTGCCTCACAGGGACTGGGAGGGGTGGGGGTGGGGTCTTATTGGGGTTCTTCATGGTAAAAAATAAATATTGGTAAAGGGAAATGTGTTTGATATTTGCTTGACTGAGACCTAAACCTGAAAGCTTTGTAACCTTTCCCACAGTGATTCAATAAATAAATAAATTTTAAAAAATAAAAAAATAAAAAAGTAAAAGTGAAAAAAAAGTGCAGTTAAGAGGGAAGTAAGCCTGCCTGCTTGCGACAGGCTTCTCCTCATGTCAGTGAAAGGTAACGGCTGATTTTCACCCTGGCTGCACCTATGTCAGTATTCTTGTGCTTGGAATTGCTTGTGTGTTAACTTGTAAATAATGGGTCCTGGTGATGAAAATAAGGAGGAAGGTGACTGAATAATCAGGTACAGAAACACCTCCCTGCTCAGAGCTGTCACAGCTCACTACTCTCTTATTGTTTGCTATGCTTCTGGCTTGGCCCAGAGGGGCTGGTTAGTGAAAATTATGGCAGAAATCTACCAAGATGCTGCGTTGAATACTTTGAAAATGAAAAAACAGGTAAACCTTCATTTTTCAGTCTTACCTGTGTTAGGATTTGGAATGCTTGAG